CACACATTTAATACAGCATATGAAACATGGTGTTTCAGTAAATAGGATGTAAAAAATACAATGCAATCTAAAATAGTGCCAATTGAGGCAGATGGAGAGGAAAATGGAGCTAGGTGAGAGAGGTGGAAAAACAAGAGACAGGAGACAGATAAATACATAATTTCCATCCAGCTGATACCGTGCACAGCATTTTTATATAATGCTGGGGGGAATCCAGGATATCCAGGCAAAGACAACTATTTAAAAAATGGTAGGACAGGAGATCTAAGATGGCAGAGTAAACACTGTGCCTGAGCCCTTCCATGAACACATTAAAATTACAGCTAAATTATATAACAATCAATCTGAAGAACCATCTGAAGTCTAGCCAAACAGAAGTCCTATAACTAAACATATAAAGAAGAAGCCACATCGAGATTGGTAGGAGGGGTCTAGACGCCAAGCAGGCCCCAACCTCCCGGTGGAGGTTGAGAATCAGGAGCTATATCTCACCCACGGATGTTCCCCTTGGAGGAACACGAGACCCCCAGGCCCCCACACCTGAGTACTGGTGCCAGAAAGAGGAGTCCCCACAACATCTGGCACTGAAAACCGGCAGGGATTCATATTGTTTGGGTGGGACACAAGGCTGCAGGAAACCCAGACATCCTCTTAAATGGCCCACGCACAGGCTCACTCGCTCACAGGCACTCACCTTGGGCTCCAGCGGAGGGACGGTGACTCAGGGAGCCTTGGAGACATATGGGGGGCAGACTGAGGTGTGTGGCTTCAGGCAGAAGACTGGAGGACAGTCAGCATTTTCCCGGTGAGAGATACTCCTCCCATGCAGCTGGCAAGCAGGCGCCATCTTTCCTACATTGAGCCCGCCACCACAGGCCAAATCTGAATCTGATTGGCCTGGTGAGCTCTGCTGCTTCACCCTGCTGACTCAGTTGGGACTCCGCTTCACCCAACTTGTGCACAGCTGGAGACATTTTCTCCAGGAACAGCCAGCCCCTCCCGCATTGCACTCTTTTTTGGAAAACTATCATTGTTCACAGGACACAGGCAGGCAGCAGCTGGCCTCTGTGTGCTCTGAGGCTTTTGTTGATTCACTCCAGGCTCAGCAACTGGCACCAAACAGAGTCTACATTAACCTGGTTGTCACAACTCTTCCCACTCTAGTAACTCCCTGAGACCCTGTCTCACTCAACTCATATACTGCACAAGGCTTTATCAGTGTCTGAACCTTAAGGGAACCAGCAGGTGGCAGCTGGCCTCTGGATGTTCTGGCTTTTTGCAGAGTTACCCCAGGCCTGGTACGGGTGGCAGATGTCCTCGGTTTGCAGCGTGGCCTCTCCCATGCACCTCCAAGTATAGCACAGGCAGTGAACAACTGCAGATCACTTTGTAGGTCCTATAAGGTAGCCTC